CGCAAGAGAGAAGACCCTCAATGAGATGGATTGACTCAGTGACTGGAGTAATGGGGTAGGTGTGGCAGAGACAGTAAAGTTTTCACAGGATAGAGCGGGGTTCAGAGCTATTGTACATAGGGTCACTGTGAGTTGCAAGGAACTCGATGGGACATAACAACAGCAACAATAAGTTAGAAAAATGTAAAGAATGCCAAAATGGTAGCAAGTGAATGAGGTACTATCATTGTCTCACTACAAAGGAAAAAGATACAACCCTCAGAAGATAGTTTTTCAGCTGTTCTTTAAGGATTATATGCTACACTTTTCGAACAGTGAGGTGAAATTACCATTTTTTCTGGGAGTAACTTCTGTCTTTATACTTACAATCTACTTCATTCTCCCTCTTCATTGTCCCGATGGTCATTTTATCTAGCCCGCTTCTCTTGAAGCCCTAGGGTCATTTTAGGCCAGCAGTTGGAACCCAGCAGGTGTTCTTCCAAAGAAAGCTGGGCAGAGAGTCTCCTCCCTTCAAAGTTTACAGCCTCGGAGTTCCCATGGAGGGTCACCACGAACCATAATCAGCTTGGTCGCAGCAGTGTTAATGTTCTCATTTGAGTATTGATGGCTGTGTGGCTCCCTGAGCATCCTTGAATATCGGTCTTCAGATATTAGTAACAATAGGTTTCCAGGAAAAATGCCTCACAGTGGAATTGATGGGACCTTTATTTCAGGAAGATGACCACATACTGTAGTGAAGATGGGTTGGAAGAGGGAGGAAAATGGTCAGTAGCCACGGTGGCCATGCCCACTGTTTGCTGTTTTAAATCCTCCAAGCCCATAGAGGGCTCCACATGGACACAGCTCCTTGGGCTTCAGGTTCATTGATCAGCATCTTCCTCCTGGATGAGGTGGAGGTAATCATTCACCACTCTTCTCTAGAGGGGCTCACTAGGAACTTGACACCTTGAAGGCTGATGTCACAGCTAGTTCTGAGGCTCAGCTGGCTTGGCTCCTGCCAGGTTTCCAGTTTATGAAATGTGCAGGAGATTAACGCCTCTCTTGCCGTTTTATCCTGAGCGCTGTAACTGCTGAATTCTCTCCCAGCTGCTCAGCTTCCACCCAAGGACAGGAGGGGGATAGATCCTTCAGTGTGACCTTTCACCTCCCAATTCTGGGTGGTTCGGGCCCTTTGAAGTTGACTCTGAGGAACCACACACCCGGGTCTGAGCAGCCAACAGCTTATCACATCTGGTGGTCAACCCTTCAAAGGTTCCTCTTGAAGTCTGGATTTATCGAGGGTCAGATGGATTCCACCTGGGAGGGGCTTCTGCTCCAGCTCATGACATGGGGAGAAAGCTCTCCCACGTCCAGGAGGAGGCCATTTTCATGGCATTGAGAAGGCCCTACCCACTCACCCACCCACCAGGGCCTTTGTAGGAGGGGGGACGCCTGCAGCCTCCTGCATTCCTAGACACCGACTCACTGCACAGCCGCTGTTCCAGCAGAGCTGTGTGAAATGTCAAGAGGAGTTATGCTCACGGGCTCCCCGGCCCTAGTCTCTTTGTGGCTTGCGTTTTCTTCCATCTGCACTCTGTTCATCAGATGGAAATCAGAGGGTGCAATTAGCAGATAATTTGCTAGTTCCAGACGTAATTTGGGCCCCCCTCCCTTTCTTGCCTGATTGAATTACAAGAGAACTTAATAGATTTTTGGTGAGAAATAGTTGGCCCGCTGGGAGAAAGAGAACGCCTTGCTCTCTAGCTTGGCGGCCTGGCCATATCCTACTTGTTGCTCCCACACACACACTTCAATCTGCTAGTTTCCTCCGTGGCACTCATGTGAACCCCGAGGCCGAGATCTTGATCTTCTTAGGAGTTTCAGCTGAACTTGAGACCCTAGGAAAATAGGGAGCCCTCTGTGATCTCATAGGGCTGAAAAATGTGGAAGCTGGAAGGTATTTAGAAACCTAACCAAGGCCCAGACAGAGGCAGAGACTTGCTGAAGGCCACATAGTTAGCCCATAGTCTAGCAACAATAGTCTTAATGATATTAACAGCCAACATTTATCAACCCTTAATGTGTTCCAGACTCTGTGCCAAAGGCCGTACGTGCGGTGGATTGTTGCACTCAAACCCAGACAGTCTGGCTCTGAGCCAGCCTGGCCTCTAGTCTAACGTGGTATTGCCTAGTATACATAGGCTGGGTTCGAATCCTGGCTCTCTCTCTCCCTTAGACAGCTAAGTGACCTCAGGGAAATGATTTAACCCCTCTGTGCTTCATCTGCTAAAAGGGATCAGTCATAGGTCTGTGGAATAAAGCTGTGGTGCATTGCGGCTGGCTGCGTGAGGGCGCACTGTTTGGCGACAGGAAGGGATGGCTGAGTTCTACACAGATTCCCAAGAGCTGTTCTTTTCCTGTGAGAGGCAGTGAACAAACAGAGTGGCTGAGCTGGATCTAGAGCAGGATTTGTCAAACTGTGGCCACTCTGCCTGTTTTCATAGGGCCTGCGATTCTTAATGCTTTTAAATGGTTGGGCAAGGAGAGAAAGAAAAGAATTTGGGACACATGAAAATTACATTGATTTGCAGTTTCAGTGCCATAACTAAAGCTTTCTTGGAACATAGGTGGCCATGACCATTTGTTGATGTTTTGCTTAAGACTATTTTTGTACCAATGGAGTGGAATTGAGTAGTTAAAACAGCAGACTAAGCACCTGCAAAGCATGAATATTGAGTGTATGGTCTATTACAGAGAGTCTGCTAACGCCACATCGAGAGTCATTCTTACTGGGTTTGAAACCCAGGACCAACCACTACTGGCTGTTTGTCTGTAGACAAGTGATGTAAGCCCTCTGAACCTCAGTTTCCATATCAGTCCAATGAGGATGATAGCAACTATCTGTGTTGCTGTGAATGACTCACAGCTGATCCTCCAGCGCCTTTTCTAAGGCAGTAAATCTCACAGGAGGAGATTGTTCATCTTTACCCCCAAGAGCAGCTGGTGGATTTGAACTGCATTCCTTTGTATTGACAGCACACCTCTTACCACTAAGCCACCAGAATTCCCTCTTAGGCCATAGGTTGCTAAATTAAATATAACAACAACAGATGCAGAGCCTGGAACCTATTCAGTTCTCAATAGATGTAAACTTAGTAATAGGGGGCAGATCAAAATCTGATCACTTGGAATGTTCCTGCACCCAGCCAGTGGAGGAATAGGAAAAGTTGTTATTGTTATTGTTGTTAGGTGCCGTCTAGTTGAGCATGACTCATAGTGACCCTATGAACAAAAGATCTGAACCCTGTTCTATCCTGTGTCATCCTCACACTTCCTCACACACTGCCCATTGCAGCAGTCACTGTATCTATCTACAGAGTTGAGGGTCTTCCTCTCCTTCACCAACCCTCCACCCTTCCCACCATCATGTCCTTCTCCAAGGAATAGCCCCTACTAGCAACATGCCCAAAGTATGTGAGGTGAAGCCTCATCATTCCTGCCTCCAAAGAGAGCTGCACCCTCTCCAAGACATAGCTGTTTATTCTCTTGGCCATCCATGGGATGTTCAGTGCTCTAAGGCTCCCTGGTATACACAGCCACCACCACCTCTACCACAGACTTTTCCACTGTTTTTCCACAGTTAGAGCTGGTAGAGAGGAGCACATTCCTAATGGCAGAGAGAGGTGAGATCTGGACCTACTTGCTTGTCTCTAGTCTGGCTTTTCCCAGTGTGATCCTGTGAAAAGGGGCATGGGGCTTCCCTGCGGTCGAATCTGATAGCCCCCACAGCTGACTTCTTCAGGCGAGCCCCTGTTCAGGTTCTTGGTCCAGCATTGCCACAGGCGCCCTGGCCTAGACCAGTGGCATGTCCAGCATGGGCCTTGTCCTGAATCATAACCCATGTTTCAATTTGAGAAGCATAATCACCTTGATCAGAGGAGGAAAGGTGCCACTGCCCACTAGTACTAATGGGTGCCATTCTGGGAATGAATGAATGAGAGAGAGCAGCTACTTGCTGAAGGGCTTTGGGCAAGTATCCCCCCTTGAAGAGACAAAATGAAGCTCTGGGCTGTGCACTGCAGTCCTGGAGTCCCACAGCTGCGATTTGAATCCCAGCCTTGCCACTGACTAGTCTTTTGGTGTTGGACAAGTTACCCAACCTCTGTGTACCTTCCTTTCTTCATTTATATGGTGGGAAGAATTCCTACCTAGGAGAGTAAAGACTTTGGGCGGATTGTTAGGAGGGGCCGGTCCTTGGAGAAGGACATCATGCTTGGAAAGGTAGGATGGCACAGGATAGGGCAAGGTTCAAGTCCATTGTTCATAGGGTCACTTGATGGCACTTAACAAGGAGAGTAAGGGTGCCTATACACTGCTTAGCACATGGAGACATAAATGCCGTTTAACACTCTGGGCCTGTTTTCTCCTCTGGTGGGCCCTACCCCAAGGTGGAAGTGGTGGCCTCACCGGCCAGCTCCTGGGCTGTTGTCAGCGAGGCAGAGGGAAGGGAAAGGCTTGTGCCAGGACAGAGCAGGTGTCCGCCAGGAGCCCAGGGCAACTCTGGACCTGCCTCTCCTGCCCCTTTTAGGGGTGTGGCTCGACCCGGAGCTCCCGTCCTGCACTTTCTTCCCACCTCCAAGCAGAGGGACTGTGCCCTTCATCTTGGCCAGGCGAGGGGACGCCTGGGCGCAGCTGTGGAGCCGCGGGGATGGACGCTTAGCCAGTCCAGTCATTGTCTGCAGCGCCTGCCTGCAGCCTCCCTCCAGCCCAGCTCCACCCCTCGGCTGCTAGGTCTGTTTCCTAATAGCTGCTCCAACCACACACCTCGGTTTCGCGAGGAGCCCCTCCTCTTCCTCCTCCCTCCCTCGGGGGTGGGACTGGAGAAGAAAGCTAACTTGACAGCCCCGCCGCTCTGAGCTGGTCACCGGCCCCTGCCCAGGAATGTCCCCGTGAGCGCAGCACCCCTCCGCCCGCGAGAGGTGCAGCGCCCGCCTCGGAGTCCCTCCCCAGGGGCTGCTCAGGCTGCCGAGAGCTGGGGAGAAGCCGCCCCAGCCATGAGTCCCTGTGGGCATCTGCTGGGGGCTGAGTGGCCCAGCGCCCTCCCATTGCTGCGGCGGCTCTAGAGGGAGAGGTGAGCGCCGGGCAGCCCGCCCTCAGCCAGAGGTGCCAGGAGCCCCGGGCCTGTCATGGTGGCCTTGTGTGGTCAGCCCGAGGCGCACCGGGTCGGGTTTGCGGCTGCGTCTGTTGTTCCGGTGCGGGAAGAAGATGGGGAGTTACTTGTCTGTGCCAGCGTACTTCACCTCCAGAGATCCCTTTAGGTGAGTTGGGCTTCAGCCCGCCTTCCCCCTCACCCCAGTTCCTGGCCTCGCCCAATTCGTGGCCTCCTCTCTTGAGCCAGCAGGTTGGCCAGGCACAAGCCAGCCAAGATTGTTGCCACACCAAGCTGGCCTGACAGAGAACTTTACATAGGGTTCTGGGGACGGTGGTATGCCCAAGGGGGGGTTCTGGGAGCTCTGGGTCCCATGCATCCCAGACAGGCCTGGAAGAGCTTCTCAAAGATGCTGCTGACTCGTCTTGCTGATGATGTACTGCTTCCTGGTGGTGTGCTGCTTCCTGGTGGAGGCAAAGAGCGCTATTCTTCCAGGGAGCCTCACCTTCAGGCCATACGCCTGCCCAGGAATTCGTCCCAACAAGCAGGACAAGCAGGTTTTGCCAAACAATGTGGATGTTAGCAGGGCCTGGGTGTGAACCGCCTGGCACACAGTAGGCGCTCTGTAAATGTCTTTTTCATTCATGGTTAATGTGTTTACTCTGGGCTTGAAGGGCTTCTGAAAGCCCAGGTGGGTCTCTTGCTGAGGAAAGAGCCAGCGAGTATTGCCAGGACTTAGCATTTGACTTAAGTGCCTACCAGTTCCAGAGGGGGGCCAGCCCTCCTGTCTCCTCAGCCTCCAAGCCAGAGTGTTCTTGGGGCCCCTTTGGTGGGCCCTCCCTGGAGGGAGGTGAGGAGACATTCCCCCCCCCAACCTACCTTTCTCTGCTGTTTGCCCCACCCCACTCCATAGAAACTCCCCAGGGGGTTTCTGGCCCTGGGGGGGCCCAGTGGAGCCATTCCTGGCTGGGGTGGGGCTTGTTTTCATTCTTTGGGAACAGCCTGTTGTTCCTCAGGCTGCCTCCCCCTCATCAGTGGTCTTGGTTTTCCCTTCTGGCTTCCCCAGCCCTGCCCCATGCCCAGATCTGGCTGCTGGGATGCTGGCGGGGCCGGAGCAGAAGCAGAGATTTCCTAGCGGTTACTGGTAGAGTGGTGAGAGGCACGTGGGTTGTAGGGGGCAGTGGGGAGAAAGCTGATCCTGACTGACCAGGTGTCCTGCTAGCCGCTCAGTCCTTTAATCACTGATTTTACAGATGAGGCAGCCAGCTCCAGCCTGGGTAACGTGACTGCTTCCTCTGTCTTTCTGAGTTTCTATCACCTTTGGAGGAAGACAAGGGGAATGGGGTGCTGGGATCCCCCTCAGTGGCATTGCCCATTCAACTAAGACAGTAAAACGGGGGGCGGGGGCACCACAGCATGCCTGGCATGTCAAAGAAATGGCAGAAGTTCTCCATTGAAGAGTCAGGGGCAGTGGATGTTAAATTGAGGAGTTAGGCTCTACTCTGGGGTGTCAAGATGCCAAGTAGGGAGGCACTGGCCTGGGTCAGGGCCTCACGTTAATCCAGCTCGCGCTTAATCCTGGAAAGGCCACTTCAGGGAGGGATTGTTCCCTTGGGGGCCAGGAATGCTGTGTCCCTTCTTTCCTTTGGGGGCAGGGCTTCTTAAGAGCCCAAGCAAGATCAGATCTTGGACTCTCAGCCTAAACCTTTTAGGACTAGGGTGCCCCTGACGCCCAGTTCTGGCTGTCCTTTGTCTTGACAGCTCCCCTCCCCCAGCTCTGCTTGCCTAACTGGAGTGAGAGGGGGAGGCCCAGCTGGAGTGGGTGGGAGACTGATGACTGACCTGGGACCCTCTGCCCTCCCCTAAATGAGTGACCACATTCCTAAAGCCACTTCTGAGGAGACAGCCAGTAGCAAAGAGCTCTGCTCCCCATTGGGAGAAAAAGCACAGTCGCCCCTGTTCACTGTTCTTCCAGGTAGGCGTCCAACCATTCACAGCCAGCACCGCTTGGCCAGAAAGGCAGCAGCCTTCTCTTCTCTCAGGGGGCTGTCTTTAAAAGGGACCTCAGTTTCCTCCTCTGCAAAATAAATTTGGGTGCTAAGCTTCTAGACCGTAAGTCAGCCCTTGACCCCACACCTCTGAGGGAGTAGAAAGTCTACAGGCTTTCTAGGGCATTGATTCCAAAGAAAGTGACGCAGCCAGATTCCATGGGGACATGATCAGGCGTGTGAGGGAGGGAAGAGGGAAGCAGAGAAGGAGGTAATTTCTGTGCCCGACACGCTCCTGCCTGACAGACCGCACTCTACAGAACTCTTGTCTTCCTCTTCTCTGCGTATCCTGTCCCGCATGTGTGTGTCCGTCCCTGCCCCCCCTTTCCCCCCAGTTCCCAGCACCTTCAGTGCCCCCAAGGAAGAAGAAAGCTCCAACTGGGATTGACAAAAGAGGTGAATGAGGAGGTGACTTTTTGTTTGAGATGTTCAAAGGATTTTTCTTTTTATAGAATTTCCCTTACTGCCTAACATTGATTTCATAATCGTGGTTTGCACATTATCTCTTGAAGAAAAAACAGGTGCATCTTTGTATTCTCCAGCAACCCATATTTAAAGGGAGAGATTACCCTGAACCCTGCCTAGGATAGCAGTGCCTTTGACAGCTGACTTAAGTCCTCTGAGATTCTTTGCTCATCTGTAAGGGCTTGGATCAGGTGAATGGTTTCCAGCTTCGTGGCTCTGAGAAGCACGTGGGCCCCTCTTTTTTTTTTCTTCCTGGAATCATGGAGGTCCTACCTTAAATTGCACAAGTTACTTGGAATAAAATAAAAGACTTCCTGGCTTTTGGTGAATCACCTTACCCTGCTAACTTATTTCTTTTTGGTCAGGGGCTAGTTATGTGCTTGGTTCATTTTCCCCAACAGATTAACAACATATTCCATAATAATTAGAGGTTGGTTGACAAACTTTCCTTCCACAGAGTCTGTAGAAGGAGAATTGACAAAGGGGTCTTTGGTGGTAGACTAAGGTTGGACTAGGGTCTCTAGGTTCTGTTTCCCCTTTTGAGCCTTGAGGGAGAGTTCCCCAGTCTTTGGGGTCTTGAGCTGTGTCAGGAGCAGCTGCCCCTTCTCCCAATCAGCCCAATTAGAGCTCAGAGGCAAGAGGCTGCTCAAAGAGAAGAGACCTTTCTCCCAACATCCTGCTCATGGAAGGGGCTAAAGATGAGTGTCAGTTAACCCCCTCACCATGCTCTTTAACGTGTGTAAGTCGGTAAAAACGGCTGTGTAGGGTCCTTTTCCCCATAAACAAAAGAACTCACTGCAGTTGAGTTAGAAGTGACTCATAGCTGGCCCTGCAGCAGGTTTCCCAAGGCTACAAATCTCCCAGGAGAAGGTAGCTCATCTTTCTCCTGAGAAGCAGCTGATGTATTCAAACTGCTTGCCTTGGGGTTGACAGCGCAACTCCTTACTCGCTTGGCCACCAGAGCTTCCTACCCGATAAGGTCAAAATTTACTTGCAAATACTGGGAAGGAAGCTTCTAGATGTGCATGAGGGCTGTTGGGCCAATACCTTCTCTCACTTGGCTTCTTCCAGTACAGCATCTTGCCTGCTCGTCCTTGAACATCCCCACCACACCGTTGATTTGAATCAATTGATTTTTAGAGAATCAATTGATTAGAGAAAGAAAAGATCTTCCTGTCTCCCTACAGAAATCCATTTCATTCTGGACCAAGAAATAAATATTTACTGGACCCAGGAGGGAAAGGACTCTGTCTACATTTGCCCTTGTTGTTATGTGCTGTCGAGTTGCTTGTGACTCATAGTGATGCTATGTACAACAAACAGCTCTGTACCCTGCTCTATCCTATGTCAGACTTATTGTCTCTGACACACCTACCCCCATAACCCCAGTCACTAAATAAAACCATCTCATCGAGGGTCTTCCTCTCTTGCACTGACCCTCCACCCTCCCAAGCATGATGTCTCTCTCCAAGGACTGATCCTTCCTTGCACTATGCCCAAAGTATGTGTGATGGAGCTTCAGAATCCTTGCCTCCAAGGAGCGGCCTAGTTTCACCCTCTCTAGGACAAACCTGTTTGTTCTCCTAGCTCATTGGCACTTAGAGTTCCTAAATTAAACACAGGACCAACTGGACATCTGTTATGAGTAAGGCATGTGTGTATAATCTCATTCTCATAGCCCTGTGAGATTTTATCATCACCACTGGACAGTTGAAACAATGGAGTATCAGAGCCAGGAAGTAACTATCCAAGCTTAGTAAATGATTGAGGAGGGCAGAAGTCTTAAGTGAGTTATTTATGAGAATCTCAACAAATTAATCTCTCTTCCCCATGTGCCCCTCCCTAAAAAAACAAAAATGCAACAACACACAACCCAATCAAACCCTGTGTATTTTCTGACTCAAAAGATCTGTTTGGCCTTGAGCCGGCCCACTGAGCCGAGCTGACCATAGGATTCTGTTCACTGTGCAGTGTGTTGGGAGGTCATCCATGAGTGAACCCTCAGCATGTATCGACCTCTTGGTGATCTGCTCCAGCGGGAGAGTTTCAGCTTCATTCCCTTTGGCTCCTCAGCAGAGCGTGGTGACTGATGCCATGGTCCTGGGCTCATACTTCGGCTGTACCTTCTCCGAGTCAAGACGCCCTGGGACCTACATACAGCAAGGGCAGGCTATGACTTTTACTCAAAGCCTTCAAAACCTGGAAGTCGGAAAAGAGCCTTAGCTCTGGGAAAGTCATAGTGTGGCCGTTACCTCTGAGAATATGAGACCAGACTTTGCTGTCGTTCTTACATTTCACTGTGGTTTGAATTCCTCTTTTAAAAGAGCAAAGACTGCTGTGGGATGGAGGAGAAAACTAACTGTGTCATTAACACAGTCAGGCTTAAGGAGAAACATCATGAAATGTTAATACTCAGAAGGACTCGAGTTCCCGTTCTTTTCACAAATGAAAATGCTGAGACGCAGCTGGGTGAGCTGTCCTTATCACAGAAGCAGTGTAAACTCTTAGGCATCCCATCGGAACTGACTCATAGCTGACCCTCCAATGGATTTTTTTAAATCTGTAAACCACACCAAAGGAGATTGTCCATCTTTTTCCCTCCAAGCCACGGGTACATTTGATCCACCGGCGAGATAAGCCTTTAGGTGAGCAGTAC